GGCTAAGTCCTGGGATAACCTCTCCTTGCTGCCTGTTTTGATTATGACCTGGCCTGACAGCTCCCTCCTATTATTGGAGCTAATCCAGTCCTGCTGAAAGCCATTAGGTGGCAGCATCCATTCATTAGTGTGTCCAAACTGCCACATTTATAAATTGGAATTCAAAATCAGCCAGGCATACCACCAGGAATTCTTTCAACTGTCTGTATGCAGGGCCTGAATGTCAGCCCACAGCCAGATTTGGAATGTTTATCAGCAATGACTTAACCAGAATGAACAATGTGGGTTTCTTCCTTTTCATAATTCCCAATGGGTCCTTTGTTTTGTTTAATCACAATTAAAATAACAGCACGACTGCTGAGTCTGATTAGCATGCAGATAATACAATCATCTCAGCAAAATCACCCTGAAATAATGCTTGATTTAGAAAACCAATACAACATTCAAAAGGCTTTTAATTTCTCTTTATTAGAGAAATTCAGGATATCCTCCTATGTTTATTGTTTCCACTATTAAAATAGGCAGCACTTTAGCTGGTCTTATGCCCCAGATATTACCCAAAAATCTTGTCCTTCAAACTACCATATAATGTTGTAGGTCTTCAATCAAATCTGAAGTCCTCAGATAAATACACATACCCACTAAAATCCTGGTTTACATATATGCAATTTATTTTCACCAGCAAACAAGTTGGAAAAAAAAAAAGAAAAGAAAAAGGAACCTTAGCAATCTTAACAAAAATCACTGCCATTGCTTGGGATATTTATAGTGCAAGACTACATCAGAAACATCACAATGGAGTTCCCCAATATTGCACAGAGCAAGAAAATGTTCTACAACAAGAGACAGACAGAGATATTGTGGCCACAAGAGATATGCTGTTGAGTGTAAGCTCACATCACATTTCATTTTAAATAATCTTCATGACTCTGTTCCTTGAGAGTGTGTTCTTACTAAGACAGGAGTATTTCTACTCATCACATGATTCTGCAGCACCTGCCCTTGCCATTGTAGCTGAGTAGCTTCTTGTTGTGTGTCATCTGAGCTGCAAAAGCATCAAAACTGCCCAACTATTCCAAATGAGACATGAAAAACCACATGTCCAGTTTTTACTGCTAAAATTAAGGACACTAGTATTAATAGAGAAAAATTAAAACTGCCCTTATCAACAAAACAGGAAAACTCAAGTGTGATGACAAATCACTTCTAATAAATGTGGAAGTGACTGACACCTGCAAAAAACACTGTCAACTAATCTTTTATAGAGAGTTTGAGGAAAAGAAAATCTGAATGGAGCTGGGAAAGACACTTTCCTGCAGTGCTGTGACACTGAAGAGATGAAAATAATTACCTTGATGTATCCCAAGGGAGACAACACAGTCATGAAAAAAATGCTCCACGGATCATCGAATGCCAAGTCAGACAGAAAATTGGTGATTTTTGAGTTCACCTCCTGTAAGCTGAATACATCACAATTATTCACACTGTACCAGTTGGTTTCAACACAATTCATATAACCTTTGCAGAACACAGATCACAACACCCTAAGCTTAAGTCAGGAAGTTCTTGCTGTTCAGTTTCTCACTCACAAGCAGTTCAACCCACCCACAGGTCTAACACATCTAACGCCAAGAAAAACAAAGTTAAAGGAGCTTATATACACATGAAGGCAGAGTTTCAGGTTCTAGATATGACAAATAACCTGTCAGGACTTCAAAATTTCAAGAAAGTTTGGAAAACACAATGGCAGATTACGCCCAATAAGCTTGCACTAATTTCCTTAAAACATGCTGAATATTGCATAACTGTCATATCAAAATGAACATGCCTTTACCTGATACAAAGCAAACAGCAGCCAAAACATTTTGTCTGCTTAGAAAAAAGATATTCTGCATTTTGTCACAAAACAGCAGCATAAAGAAGAGAAGCCTCTCCTCCTATAAATCACCTTTGTTGTCAGTTAGTACTCTGTTAGTTAGACTAAGTTAGTCTTCACCTTCTGGTAGTGATAGTGTTAAACCATCCCCCAGACAGTGATTCACATCACACAGTCCTCCCAAAACAGACCATAACCTGTTGAGACTTGGCAGTTTTGCAATAAACTTACAAAGCAAGGTCTTTAATATACACTTACCCTATAACGTACATATCCATAGTCGGGCCCAGTGAATTGAGCTGAAGTAAACTGGTGACATCGGGAGGTGGAGAAGCTGTGCCCACATTCCAGGTAACTAAGTGTAGTCTACAAACAAACAAAAATCACACAAAACCATTGCTAAAACTGAAGCGTGGACAGGCAACCAACCCTAAGAGCGCTCTGATTTCCCCACAGAATTCCCGCCTGCGGAAAACAAAGATTTTCTGTCACTTTTCATCACTCAGAAACCTCTTTGCCAGCCAAGCCTAAAAGAAAAACCCCAACGCCGCCAGAAGAAACAACCAGCTGGGGGGAACAAAACCTGAACTCCTGCCACTTCAGCTTTTTCCCGCAGATGAGGAAAGCTTCATCCAGGGTGCGAGACACTTCCTTGTGGATCTCGTCGTCCGAGCTGACGTCCTCCACACAGGCCATGAGGTGCGCTACTCTCTGCCGGAGCTGCAGGCGGCCGCTGGAGCCGGTGCTGCCGACGCTGCCCGAGCGGCTGCGGAAGCTGTGCAGGCTTTCCAGGTCGTTCAGGGAGAGCCCCTCGCAATGCTGAGACGCATCCTCGCCGCTGAGGGATGCCATCTGCTCAAAATCAAACCTGCCCTCGGAAGGACTGGCCCATTAAAATCCCAAGTGCATAAAAAAACCAAGTGGAACTCAGCATAGCTTCTAACACAAAAGGACAAACGTAGGTGCAGCGACGCTGGGAAAAAAAAAAACCCTCTGGCCTTGCCACCGCGCTCACTGGGTTGTTACAAAAGCTGCAATCACGTCCTACCACACACAGGGAATTGTTTCTTCATAATAGATTTAATGTGGTTTAATTATATAAGCTCGAGATTTAAAAGAATTTATTGTTGATTTGAATCGATCATGTGCCTGTCTGTAGGCAAGAAGAAATATAATCCTCGGCTCCCAAACATACAAACTTCTGACCAAAACCAAGCAAAGTTACTGCTCCTCCTGAGCGCTGTCAGAAACATTTGCAGGTCTTAGAACTCGTCTGTTGGTTTCTTTACAAGGTGGTGATTTCAATGTCAGAGCTTATAAAAAGAGATTCACTCAACCATCAGTCTTGCTACATGTCAGATTGACTTAAAAATACAATAAATGTTAATTTTCCATCCATCTTAAAGGCCTATAAGGACCTTATAAACATTGATAATTAAACACTGAATCCCACCAATATATCCATTATTAAGGCTGTATTTTAATCCCCCAATCAGCTCAAGGTGACACACAATGTATGTGGAAGAGCTGGAAAGTGACCTTGCATATTACACTAAAATGATCTATAATTTCCCTCACCAATAGTTTCTCTTTGTAAGACTATGCTGAAGTCAGTCAAAAGCTATTCTAAAACGAGTTTACAGGGGGAAAAAAAAATGTAGGTACACTGCAGATCTAATTCTGCCATCAGAGTATCACTTGGGAACGCTCTCCAGTTACTAATTTTGTAAGACAATTACCTGATTAAACAAAACTGAAATAATATTGAAGCCATCAGTCATTACTGACAGAAATTCAATTCTTCAAAGTGCCCAGTGACTACAGTACTGGTAAGAACACAGACTGCAGGGGCAGAATTTACACCAAAAGCAAAAACACTTGTAAAATTTTTAAGAACATCTTTAATTATGCAGTTTCACTGCGGGACCATACAAGCACTGCCCACAGTCAGGAGGGGGGATTTGAGTGATGCCCATTTCCACCTGATGTCACAAACACAGCTTGTACCACAGGGAGGATTTTACTCGTGGCAGGGGTTTGGGACATGATCTTAAAGGTCTTTCCAAGCCAAACCATCTTGTGATTCTATGAAACCATCCTGGAAGCTCCCAGTCCCACTGGAGCAAAGCTTCAGTGCACTTTCTGCAAACACTGTCCTAAATACAAGGAACGTACTGATGTTAAGAGTCACCGACTCCTCAAGTGATTCAGTAGAGAATTTTTTAGGGTCAGAGCGTTTATAATACCACCTTCAGATGATTTTTAGGATCTTTGAGCAAATGCCAGTGTTTGTTGGTGTTTTTAATTTTCGTGTCACAGTCATCCAACTACCCTCTAAGCAGGTTTCTGTAGCGAACCGAGCCTACAGGACATCGCTTACCGACAGGGGGAAAACACAACATACAAACATCGTGAAAGCAGAAGCCAAAGACCTACTCAAGCTCCTTCTTCCTCACAAAAAGCGACAAGTTCGAGACGCCCGGTACGTTAGGGACAGATAATGTCCATAATGTAGCGCAGATGCCCGTGCCCTCATTACACACAGCGAGGGCTCTGGGGAGCCCCGGGACCCAGCAATGCCCCATAAGCCTCCCTGAACCACCCCAGCACCGGCCTCCCAAACCAGAAAATCAGCTTTTCTCCTCTCTTTCATATGACTAAGCAACGCCGCCAATTTTGTGACCCCATCCCCCCCGGCTAATAAGCACAAACACAAGTTTCGCTAATTCTCGGCTAATTTACGTAACCGCTTGGCTACACTTTTCGGAGGAGCTGCCCTCAGACCCGCGGCCCCTCCGCGCCCACCGCTCACCTCAGCTCCCTCACGGGAGGGCCAGCGGGCTCCATGCCCGGGGGTTCCCGCAGGGAAGCGCTGCCGAGGGGACGGGGAAGGGGACGGCGGAGAGCCCCCGGGTCCCCTCACACGGCCCGGCCCGCCGCGGCCTCCGCGCCGCCTCACGCTCCGACACCATCGGCGCGCGTGACGGGGCCAGGACAGCGCCGCGCCAGGGCGCCCCCAGGCGGGCGGGAGGACCCGCGGCAGCACCGAGGGGAACCATTCCCCCTCCACCCCCCCCAAAATCCAACCCCAAACCCCCAAAACAAAGGAGGCGGAGGCGGGAGGCTCTGTCTAGTATTTTATTAGATTTCGTTTCCAATATGCCTGTATTGGAAGATTTAGGAGACAAAAAAGGCACAAACTCACATTTAAAGAAACGACGAGATAATCTAACCCTTTCTACAAAGTGTGTTGCCAAAGGAAAAGAGCACGATGAACCCATCGGGACGTGGCGGGAGGCCCAGCGGGATGAACCCAGAGGGGTGTGGGATGTGGGGGGCGAGCAGCCCCACCAGCAAACCAGTCTAACCCAGGCTGGGGTGAGGGACCTGCCTCTAGACCCCCAAACCCACTCTGGATGGGAGTGAAGGTCCCAGTGCATCCATCACCCCTGGACAGACCAGTGGAGGATGGAGCAAGGGTCCCAGCATATACATCCACCTTGGATGGACCAACAGCAGATGGGAGCAACAGTCCTGGCACATCCATCGCCCCTGGATGGGCCAATGTCCCAGGGCCAATCCCGCTGGGAGCCGACAGGTCGAGGGGTTCTTGCCAAAGCTGATGAGAGATACGGCACGGGAACGCTGCGTGATCTTCGCTATGCTCACTAGCAGGAACCAAGCATCGAGACTGAAGGGTCTTTACAGGATTTGTCTATCCCAAGGCTGAGGGATGCTTCCACTTCGGATCAAATTGGAAGGAAAGAAAACACAGGGCAAGGGAGGCGGGGGGGGGGGGTATTCAGGCTGAAGTTCCTGCAGTTTTCCTCCCCCCGCCTCCAAGTTTTTCCACTAATCAGGAAAGCTTTGTGTAAAAGCTCTTACTCTGAAATCAGAGGATCAAAAAAGGATTGCACGGTGGAATGTTACAATCTGCTTCCACGGCGATTAGTGTCATCAGATGGAAAGCCTCTTGGATAACACAAACTGAAAGAACAAGTGTGCTGTGTGTATTCTCAGGTTGCCCTCAAGTGTAAGAATCCCTCAAAACGTAACCAACAAACACGAACAGAAGTCAGTGCATAAATTCTCAGTTAAAAATACTTCAAACTGAAAGAACTCTAACTGGGGCCTACACTCCTAAAAAAACTTCTGGAACAGCTACAGAACATGCCATGAAACATCCTGGTCCCAAATAGCCTCACAGATTAAAATTTAATTTCTTTACCTATTTTACAATAAATTTGTTTTACTTCTGCCTGGTGAGATTGCTAAAAACCCCTCAAACCCCACCCCAACCCCACAGAACCGTCTGAGGTCACTGAGAAGAGCCTGCCAGAGTTACTGGTACAATTCAGAGCTTATTGCACTTAGACATGAGTAAGGCAAAATAACAAACTAAAAATAAAGGGATAAACTGCCCCCTTCCCAGAAACCAAATGCCATCCTCTCCCTCCAGAGCATTCCTATCTTCCCTCACTCTGCAAACAGTTCTGATCCCAGCCCTTGCTCAGCATGGCATGGGATCATTTCAGGATCTCCTGCTTGCAGGAGCAGGAAGGGCTGGAGGAGTTGGTGCATTACAGAATGCTAAAAAGACTCCTCAAAAGTGGTGGTGCACCCACGACTGTTTGGCATTTCAGTATTTCATGTTAGTGCTGCCAAATACAGAAGTGGAAAATAAAGTTATTACTACTAGGGGGAAAAAAAAGAAAAATCAAATATTGTGCCTTAGGGCATTAGCAAAGAAGTAGGATTTTTTCCTCATATTTCTCATATTTAAGAAAGCAGCATTTCTTTGTTCTGCTTAGTTGATTGTCTAAAGCTGTTATCAACATAAGGATAGTTACAGTAAGTACTTGAGTTCATTAAATAAACAGAGCTCTTTACATTAACAGTATCCTTTGTGATTTATAATCACCAACAAATATCCTAGAAAATAACTGCAGGTTTTTGTAAGTTATTTTTTTATAGCACAAAAGCAGATATTTTAGTCAGTCTTGCAATGGGAAGAATATTATTGCTGAGCAGAACCACCACCCCAGGCATCTGGATGTAGCCAGACACCAAGACTTTACTTGTACACCAGCCTTTGCAACATCCCAATTGGTCCAGGGAGAATCACATTATTATTAGTCAGTCACTTCAGCTTTGTAAGTTATGGGAAATCTTGGTAAACAAAGAACCAGGAAGTTGCAACATATGTCAAGAAGGATTTTGTAAGACTGACACACAGCTGGAGGACAACAGAGCTACATGGGCCAAAGGGACCATGGACCCCTAAGTTGAAACTCAACAGGGAAGTGCTGAAGGTCCCAGCACGGGGATGCTGATCACAGCTCCTGGGCAGTCTTTAATCCATGGATGCTAAGACAGAACAAAGTAATGCCAGGCAGGAGCCATGGATCACAACTCATCACAGACCAAGAACTCTCTCTGGCTGCTACTCATTATGTATTCAGATTACCCATCATTAAATATCTCCCCCTGGGAGCAAGAGCCAAAGCAGAGCATTTTGTGGAATCATTTTGCACTCTAAAATACTGACAAGTTTCCCTCTCCAAACAGACATTCAAAGAACGGTGAAGGGCTGGGCAGAAACAAAGGTGGCAGTTTATCCCACATGGGAAAAAAAATTAAAAAAAAAAAAAAGAAAAAGAAAAAATCTAAGTCACCACATCACAAGACTATTTTAGCTAAAAATGTCACTTGGAAATCAAACAGGGCCACATGGAAGTTGGTCTGAACACAATGAAAAAAAGAGGAGGGAGGAGTTGTAAATACAGCGATCTCTAAGTCACACGTCTCCGAGGAGCTGCCTCCTTGGGATACACGTGCTAACACTGGAGTGCTTAGTACCAGACGGTCTATTTGCTCACAATATTAAGGGGCATCTAGAATTAGCTATGGGAGGTTTAAAATCGCCTGCCGATTGGATAGAGAAAGGCTTGATCCAGAGATGGTCCGTCAGTCAAGAGTGTGGATTCCCTGGGCCTTCCTGATGACTGTCTTGAAACTAAAACAAAGAGACAACAGGGAAACATTTTAGAACAACTCTGGAAGAGCAGTGTGCCAAGAGAAGTGTCAGACAACCTTCAGAGAGCAAATGTGAGTCACCAGGCAGACAATGGCAATACAGCCCTGCATCATGACATTGCAGCACGAACCCAGAGTAAATGTGAACGAAGAAGGAAATAAAAACATTGAAGTTGCATTAAAAAAATCATCAGAAATTATCAGAAGACACCCCTTCAGGCACTCCCTCACCTTGCTCACCACCTACCACCAACTAACCAGTAGTTAAGAGAGGATGAGCAGAGGTAAACAGTCAGTGCTCCAGGAGGATGTGGTTCTGCCCCACCCCATTCCTCCCAGGGATAACTAGGATGGTATTTTACTGCCCTAGAAAAGTTGAGGCTAGTTACCTGGACTTCTCAACATAAATGGACAATCTCTTCTTTCTCCTTGCCTTCTTACTTCTCTAACACTATACCACGTTCTTCTACAGTGTCTAAGAAAAATTCACCAAAACCAAGCCCCAAATTGATGACACAATTTAACAGAATAGGAAGAGAACAAGTCAAAAGCATTAAAACTGTCATTGCTGCTTCTCCTGCAGCATGAAGTGTTGCTCCAGGCCTTGGCCCATTAGTAAATACTGCTAACAAGCAATGCAAAAAAATAAATTCCTTGCTAATATTCTTGGAATGTTCAATTGCCAACTGTATCTAAGTATTTGCAGGTCCAACTTCTTTTTTTTTTGAGACACAAAAGTTTCTCTTCAAGTCATGGAAAGTAACACATGCATTACAGAAATAAGAACTGCAGCAAAATCTACAAAATGTTCTAACACATTTTTCTTACACTTCTCACTCAGACATTTCTTCAGAATAGATCTGAAACGAGACAGTAAACTCACTCATCAACCTGTCAGTGAAACGAGTTCACTATAAAAACAATCAATACCACAGATTTGCCTGTCAGAAGCTATAAACAGGATCATTTCTTACATAGACTTTTTGGTTTTTTTTAATTAAATAATAGAGCAATACAGAGTTTGTCAAACTCCCTTGATACCTACAGTGCACAAGGAAGGAGTCATATTAGTCATCTGCAGCCGACATTCCTTTCACTGGATCTTTTTCTCTCATCTGAAAGAGGAAACAATATTTGAGTACACACATGTTATCTCAAAATGTATCAGGATGGAACACATTAAGCTACCTCCTGTATGTAAGACATTGATTATACCTGAGCATCCCAAACCAGTGGTTGTGAAATGCACAGGCAGGCACCATTGCTGGTTAAGCTGCAGGTTGGCTACAGGATTTGGAACCATTATCCAAGGGGCAGAGTGTACTTGAAACTATAATGAAATATCCTGAGGCATGAAGGGAGAGAAGGGTGCAGTGCAGGACACAAATCACAGAACAAGGTTCTCATTATTACCAAACTTGTGTTTCTTAAGAGTAAGAATCCTGTTACATACCCTCACTACCTGCTTATAGTATTTAGAGCTAAAAAACCTTTTACTCAACTGTTTTTTGGCAATGAAGGAGGGCAAAACTGACCATTCAGCTTTGGGTAAAAGCGAACAGAAGATATTAAAGCAGTAAATGAATCACTGACACTCAGACCCTCATTACCTGTGGTTCAATACATTTCCTGGCTCAACAACAAACAGCAGTCCATAATGATCAGAAGGAGATGCCAGCACGATGGAGTCATGGCAAAACCATTCAAACCACACACAGCATGACCCAGATAGCAGGAGGACAGCACACACTCTGCTCTGACAGTGCACCAGTCTTTCCTCTCTACTGTACTGGAGAGAAGCATCTTCTCACACAACCCACACCTGCCCTGCTTTTCCACTGACCTCATCCAGCTGTCTCTTGGTCTCCTCCTCCATCCTACGAATGTCCTCCATAGTCAGATCAACCCACTTATCGAGCCAGCAAAAGAGCTGCCGATGGAAGTTTGTGAAGAGACGCTTTTCTTGCTGCAAAAAGAGGAGGAATAAAACACAAACGAGCTTAGTCACAGGGCAATTACCATGGATCTACCCGGATTGTTACAGTTTTCAGAGATGTGTACACTGAAGAGTCAGCTCTCTCGCCCACCTTTCTATATAGCTGCCACAATTGGAAACTGGAGATAGCTAATTTTTATTCTTTTAACAGAATATCTAATCTAGAGCCTTGAATCCCCAGAGAAAACGCCTTTTTTTTCCCTCAAGCCTAGACAGCAGTCTGCACACTGCATTGAAAGAATTAGTGAATGCTTTAGTAATTTCCTTTGACTTGACAGTATTGTTCTGACTGAAAAAAGTGCTCCAAGTTGGGTTTACTTAGAGCAAAAGAGTTGGTCTGAAGGTGCGGAAAACAGGAGAAACAGGTATTTTTAAAATAATCCTTAAACTTGCTAAAAACTGGAAGTTAGGAAATGCTTTTTTCTTTTGCACTGACCTAAAAAAAAATGCCTAAACTTGTTTTCCACAGCTGAAAACCTTTGTGCAGAGGTAACTAATGTGCACAAGCTGCTTCAGGTTTGAAGCAATTTATTTCCATTTTATAGGAGATAAGCTAGACAAAAGCATTATATTAGACAGGGATATAACATGCCTCTTGGAAAGTCCTCATTAAGGAAGGACACTTCAGTTTTACCCATTATGGTTTCATATCTGATAACCTGCTCTTATCAAAAGCAGCTCGACTACTTTTAACCAAACCTGCAGATGCTCATAAGAAGAAAGGGATTGAAGACACTGCTTTGTTCAGGCCTTTTGTTACACAGGTATTTGAAATCCTGTAGCACCATGGTCCTTCCCCTTTGGAGTTCTCCTTAGATTATATCACCAGAGAATTGCTTTTGCAGAAGCAGCACTGTAGTTTATCAATATTAACCACTGAGAAGTCTCTGTGATCTGAAGGCACTGGTGTTTTATGCACGTGGTATTGCCTGGAGAATCACACACACTGATTCCCAGGTGCAGCATCCTGGTGCAGTTCATGGGTTATGGACTCTGCTACAGAAAAAGCTCTTTTCAGGATACCCATTTTGCTTTAAGTTAATGAAGTTTCCTACCCTCTGCCTGTTTTTCAAGCAGCAGACTAGGAGAGGAAAACATGACTACAGCGCTAGGACTTGCCAGAAAGATCCTCAGCTGATCAGGATCAAATAGCTGAAGCTGTAACTATCCCCCCCAAAAAATGTCTTGCCCCTAAGCAAAGTAATTCTAGTATAAATGGCATCATCTCTTCATTCACAAACCAACTACCAAGTGACTGCAATTCTCAGGCTGATCCATTAAACACTGCAAAACAGCCAATTTACCTTCATACACTGGAGTCAAAAGGGTTCAATAGCCAATTCACAGAAAATCAGCCAGCCCTGCCCTTGGATTAACAACAAATTGAATCCACATTTAACTCATTGCAGGATTTCAGAGGCCCTGACTACACTGCCTAAGGTGATATGACTGGATTTCAAGTTACTATCTCCAGGCAGGACACAATATTAGAAGCTTCTGAGGTGCTACAGCAGGTAGAAGATGAAACGCCCCATTTCAACAACTCTCTTCATGAAATAACTCACCTTCTGTATAAAGTTCTCAACTTTATTTTGCAGGCCCCACCACTTGAACTTGACTGTTACCAGCTTGTAAGCACACATGTATGGACAATCTGACTGTTTCCCCAGATCTTTCTGCAAAGACACAAAGATATTCACATTAAGACTCTGGCCAAGTGTCTCCAGGAAAGCAGCTCCTTCAGTCCTAACTATGAAGTCTTTCCACAATTCCTCGCAATCCTCTTGCATCCTTACACCTTGTTTATCTTTGACTGACTAGTTTTGTCACATCTTCTCTCATCCCTTTTTCAGGGTATAGAAGAGCATGATGAAAATAGACCTTGGGTTTCTGCACAGGTTGCCTTCCCTGCAATTTTGAGAGTGGACTATTCCTTCCCCTCCTCTGTTGTCCATTTTTTCTTCAATTAAAATTATGTCTTTCAGTATTTTCACTGTTATGACACGACTTGGTTTCCTTAAAAGTCTCTTGACAAAGTGTCCTCATCTAAAACATTTTGGAAATAGATTATATCATGAGTCACCCACATAATTATTAAGCCCTAGAGAAAACTCCATAAGGTTTCCTACTTCCTTTTACAGGAGCCATATACAGTCTTCCCAAGTGAATCACATCAGCCTCAGCTTCTGCCAAGTTTGCCTCCTAGAGATCAGACTTGCACACCCATAGCTCCCCAGATCTCATTCAGGGTCCCTTTTAAAGACTAGTATCATGTTTGCACTTGTAGAGTCTTCCCATTCCAAGGATTTCAGTGAAAGGTTAAATACTGCTGGTCATTACTCAGCTATTTCATCCTTGAATTCTCTTGGGTGCACCCCTGGGCTGAACACCAACAGCTCTGGTGATTTCTTGGAACTCATTCTTTGTACCAAATTCCTTTAACTTCAGAACGGATTCACAGCTGAGTTCCCTGTTTCCTTCTACAAAAGTGGATCCAACATTTTACAGATATATCTTTGGCTCCAAGGCCCAGCATCTGTACCTCAGTCATGAGAGCTGATACAGCTCCTGAACTCATCAATACATACCTTCCAGTTGGGACCCAGAGGTCCACGTCCAGTCTTGACAGACTTAAATTTTGCTGGATCTTCTTCTGCCTTGTAATCCTATTGGACAGACCCACAGGATTAAACACAAGTTATCTACTGTCACCCAGCTGCTCACTCTCACAAAGGATGTATTTTTCTGTGCAAAGAACTAACCTCTAACTTCTCTTCTCAAGAGCTACTGTTTTGAGACTTCAACACTAGGTCAGGCACTCTTAAAGGAAACATATTTCTTCCCCCTGTGCTGGTCCTAGACCTTTGTGAAGTGGTATCAAACTGATATGACCTTTGTAAGGCTATCAGAAGATCTGTAACCCCTCAGGATATGTTTCCTGTAACCACTTGTTCTTTGGGAGCTAAACACTGCTGCTCCAGAAAACAGCTACACTCTCTGGAGCTGTGGTATCCAGGATTTTTCACAGCACTGCATCAGTGTGATGCTCACATGCTGCACACTAGAAGACAAGTACAGTCAAACTCGTAGCACCATCAAAAAGAAAGAGGCTTCAGTTATGGTCCTTATTGCACTGGAAATAAGTTTGCAGCATTCAGATGCTATTTATGTTCTACCAATTCATCTTCAGTGGAAAGAAAAGCTAAAATAAGTACCCATTCTGGTTTAATACCCAAGACCAAGTTTGAGAACAGGTACCAAATATGGTATCAAATACTGTTTTGAAGTCGGGAAACTCAAACAACATCCCATTTTCATGCAGTTGGGGTTTTTTTTCCGGTCCAGCACAGAAATATCCCTCACTTTCTTACAGTAACTGTAGTGATTCTTAGAACAAAGTATTAGCTACATGACTTCAAGATATACTTGTGAAGTCATGGGTCAGGTTCAAAAAGGAGGCAGGTTCAGAGAGATCCTGTATGGAAAGGGCAGTGTCATTCCCTGCCAGTCAAACACTCAGCTGCAGTGCTGTAGAACTACACTGTCACATGCACTGTAAGAAGGCAACACATTTTACAGACAGTGCTGACAGAGCTTTTAAAAGAGCTCTTCCTCTAGCTTGCTGGAACTTTTAAGGAATGCCTTCACTTGTCCTGCTACCTGTGACCATTCCTGGGAACACAAGTTGTACATTATCCCTCTTTTAGCACAAGGCCTCCCACACCAGGGAGCTCTTACCCACCTACCATACCTTGGGAAGTACTTGACTCCGATCAGCAATGTCTATATAAATGGCTTCTACACTCTTCCATACCTCTGGCTCCAGTTTATGGACCTGCAGTGAAAGAACAAGACCAATTTAACTGGTTCAACTACAGAACATTCCCATTCTAAGATCATAAAAAGCCAGCAGGAGATGCAGACACCCAGAGCTCCCCTTCCACACACAGAGAGGACACTGTGGTAAACACACAGTGAGAGATCTGCTAAAGAAGCAAAGGTGCTCACACAGAACAAGTGTTTGGGGGCCAATTTTATTCACATATGTGAGAAGCCAAAGGAAGGAGGCTCTGCCTTGCTAGTGAGATAAGCATTTCAAATCCAGGAACACAGTGAATAGATAGTTCCATGCAGCAATTCTCTCATCTAGCACAGAAAGCAGCATTGTGACATTAAAGAGATGAGTAAAATGACATGACACAAGTACTTACATTCTCTTGTGTTCCAAGATCTGATTTATGCCAGGTTTCAATTTTGATCAGGAAGTCATCCTTCATATACTCATTCTGTCATCAAAATAAAGCTTCTTGTTATTCTCAGGATATGTAACTTGTCTTCTTATTAGCTAGATAAGCATTAGGAGAGTCAACTCCAAGAATTATAATTTGACTGGGGTCTCAGGGAATTTCAGAATTCTCTGTAAACACATCATTGCTTTTAAGGAATTAGTGATCAATTAATTTTGCTAAGATCAAATAAAGCACAAGCTGTTCACTGAAAAAACATAAGTTCCATTGTTTCAGTGAAACATTTGGAGTTTACAAATATCTTTTTCTTTAAAGGACAATATCTGTCACTCTTTTCATAGTTTAGAAGGGATAACATAAGTTAACTAGACAGAAACCGTCTTTTCAAAGAGATTATAGATCTAGCACTGAGGACATATTTTGATGCAATTCTTCAAATTAATAACAATATTAAACTGATGTGTTGAGAGCTTTTGACACTGGAAAGGGGAGGGACAAGAAGCACAGTTCTGCCAAGTAAGCAAAAAACTTTCCATTTCTCACTATTACTGTGAGTGGCAAAGGACTTCCAAAGGTAACCCAATCCTCCCTCAAGGGAGCAGAAACAAAAGCACAAGCCAGTGAAACACTCAGCATGTAAAAAGGAAATATCAAATTCAGAAGACAGATCACTCAAAAAGGACATCCTGGCATGGGCTAAGTGCCTTTTCCTCAGTTTCCCCAGGCAGTGGTACATTCCCATTTGTAAAGCTGAGCATTGCTGCAGCACAGACACATCCCTGTCCCTGGTCACAAAGTGTTGGGAAGGGGGGTTAATCTATGTGATCTTACAGTGATAAAAGCTGAAGTGCCTTTAGCTAAAGAGCTTCTTATATCCAGAACATTTCAGGCATTATTCCATAGATCATTAGTAAAAGCAATACTTACTGTAATAACTGGTCCAAGAAATCAACACATGAAAAGAAAGAGATACAGTACTTTAGTGAAAAAAGACTGTACAGCAACCACTGCCCTCCTCCCAACTATCAGCAACACAGGGGCAGCTTCAGCTTCCCAAGGGGCTGCAGATACTACTGAGTTAAAAAAACATGGAAGTAGTTAAAAACCAGTGAAGTTCACCTCCTTCTCCTCTGGAAATTCTCAGGCTTGGAGAAACCCAGAGGAGCAGCAATTAATTATGTACTTCCACTTGTGCTCCCTGGACTCCAGCCAGCTGGATGAGAAGATGGAATAAGTATGTTCAGCTGACGGCATTTTACCAATCCTTTCTCAGCTTGCAGATAAGAAACCTCCCCATAGTTCTGGAGCAAACACATGCTGGATTTCAGGGCAATGAAGACCTCACTGTTCCTGCACGGGGTAACCAGACCCTCTGCATCTCTACTGCTCATGGTAACCAAACTCCCCGGACAGGGAGGCTCAATTATTCAACACAGAAAAGCCATTAAAGATCCTGTAACAGTCAGCATCTGTTCCACCTGAGCCATCAGGGCATGTTAGCAATTCTACTCAAGACTAAGGAAGTCTGAAGCTGGAGTGGAACTCTGCTGTTCTGTACTGAAGTTTAACATGAGGGCTTTATTAAAGAGCAATTTGGTTTTAAAGGTACGACTGCAATTTGTGAGTTTCCAACCCAACATCCTGTAGACAGTTACCATCCCAAATCACCCACCATGCACATCCAGCTTCCTTAATTACCTACTGCTGGGTCTTGGATTGTTCCAACCCCCCAGCAGTCTGAAAATTGCTTTTTACAGCAATTTTACAGAAGGCAAATTATTTAGACTGACAAGTTGGGGTGGAAGGAGAGAACAAGGAAGCAGAGCTGAGGCTAATTCTTAAAAGGCTGAACTTAATCTCAAAGAACATTATTTCTGCAGGAAGTAGGATTTTTTTCCTGCTAGTGCCAACAAAATAATGCATAAACCAGCAATAATTATAAATCAGGGCCTTCCCACCTTCCTGTGACTACGTACCATGACTACGCAGCTGCTTTAAAACAGGTTCCTTCACCTTCTTAATTTCTTCCCTGTGGGGAAGACTCCTCATTTGTAAAGCAAACAAATTAATCTCTTTAGAAATGTCCATTGAAACTTAGATGCTCAGCTTGTTACAAATTAGGACTTGCTCTTGAGGTGTTACAGCAACAGCTCCTACACATTTCAGCTGAACTTGTAACTTCTCACTTTCTCGACATTTGGCCACAGGCCACATTTATACTCAGAAGAGTGGAGCACACATCAAATTGCTTTTCTAAAAACATTTAAGCAACATTACATCAGACTGCAGAAAAGACCCAAGAACACTGTTCTCCTTGGCACAAGCCCACAGGTATAACTATCAGACAATCCTTATCACTTTTTACTGTAGAAGTTGTGAACGCACACAACAACGATCTCATTTACTGCTCATACTCTCAAAGGAGCTAAGCAAGGCTTCCACTCAAAGTATATAAAACCAACATATTACAGCACAAACAAGTGTGCAGAATTGCAGGAAGTTATAAACTAGGCATTTAAATCCCCTCAATCTGCAGGACTGCTTTGATAATGGCACATAATATGCATATTAAAGTAATAATTGAGCTTTTCGGGGAGATATTGGGAAATGTAAGAAGGATGATCTTATATAATAAAAACAAAATACCATGAGGCACAATTAACTAAAAGTGCTGCTTTTTTTCCAGTTTAGAAGGCTCTGTGTAATAGCTGATGTGCAAGCAAGCAGTGCCTCAGGGAGCAGCACACTGACACCCCCTTGATCCGGGAGGACACAGGCACAAACACCAGGAACTCCTACACTCAAACCAGGCTTAGCTCTTACTGTGTCCCTGGCCCTTAAATTCCAGACTGGTGAGAGGGATGAAAGCCCTGCCACTCACTGTAAGTCAGAAAGGCATTTTGTGCTGCCCAAAGACTCACATGAAGCCATCCAAGGGCTTCTCACGTACTACCAGAACACCTGAGAGCATCCCAAAGGAAAATGGTAAAGCACAAGGAATCCTACAGCACATCCATGGGTTCTTCCCTCCTGCCCAATACCAGCAAGGGAGGGTTTCAGCAACTTTTCTGAGCTTTTCTTGATTCATGTCAGGCTGGCAGATTCTCTAAACAGATTTATCAGCCTCCGCATCAAAACTGCCTTCTGCTCCAACCCCCACAACAAAGCCCTTTCTATCTCATATTATATTGCTGTTTATTACAGTTGAGGATTTTTTGGGGCTTTGTTATCATTTCTAGCATATCAAAATCTGAAATTTCTTTGACTGTGTTGGAAAGTCTCGTACTTGATTTTAGCATCGCTTTTTTCTTTTTATTTTTACTTAAGTAGAATTTTAGCAGTGGGTAACTGAAGGATAAGCAGGTAGGAGTGAAAAAACAAGTAACTCCACACCTTTGTTTCAGAAATTGGTGGAGAAGGAAAAGAGGAGGAGGAGGATAAAGCAGACATTTAAATCAGTTCAGTGTGCTTAACATGGAAAGAAGCTAGACATTTACTAGAGCATTTAAGTAATATGCAGCAAGAAAACTGTGTAAAAATTAGAAAGGTTGCAAATAACTTTGTTTCCGCATCTTGAATTATGTGACACATTAAAAATGTATCGTGTAGTTGCTCACAGTATCTGAATTTTGTATTTGAAATATGCATTCCACAAGACTGCTACATGTAAGTTCACATACTGAAGTAACACCATCCTGTCCCACTGCAAAGCTTTTTCCTTCTTTTAAAACACTTCATTTAAAATTCTCTTAAGTAAACTGTCGAAAAATATTTTTTTCTATATTGAGTTTCAAGTACAGTTGGAATTTTTAGGTTTCTAGTTCCCATAGCAACTGTACCACTACCAACTAGCAGAAAATTAATCCTTCAAAGATACAAACAGCATAAAGCAGCCAAAAGCACTACAGAAGTTTGGAGGCAAAGTCAAATTTTCAGTTCCTACAGCAGCAAAGATCAGAAAAACAGTAGTGGTTAAACACTGTGGCTGGTAACTTCAGTAAAATACTAAACATTCCTGTAGAAAATGAGTTTGATGTTATTTCACCACTTTATTAAGCTTCCAGAGCCTCACCCCTGCCTTACACATGGATTCACTTCATGCTTGTTGGATGAGATTTGGACAACTGTGTCAAGCAACTGTAGCATTACCTGCTCAGCCTTCACCAACTTCAGATCCTGCAACTGAGCAAACACCATCCCATAACACCTGCTCCCTTCAAACTGCACTAAGCAAGAGCCAACTGAGATCTGCCCTGTTCCCCTCTTGCATCTTCCACTGTTTTTCCCACCTGGCTACACCTGCACTTGAGTACATAAAATCATCCCTCATATTTATTCCATTAGTGTTACACATCTGTTCCCTTAGTAGGACTGATATGTTCCTCAGTCTGTTCTTTTCCCCTGTCACTCAGCAGCAGCACAACAGACAAGGGCACTTCTTTTAAGTCCTCATATTTTGCTTTTCCTGACCACAGAAAGGTGGTAGAGAACAGAAATCCAAGATTTAAGAGCTGAAACAGCTTCCATGCTGGTTGCTTCCTTCCTTATCCCCTCCTACCCTCGTCCCCACCCTCAGAAACCAAAAAGCCAGAATCCAACAGTCCTTCCTCAGGCACTCACCAGTTCTGCAGTAGGGGTAGGCATTCCATGCTTTTTCATGTATATTCAGAGCTCCTTCAGGGGCCAGCATTCTCACAAATGTTGGCACCTTGCTGCAGAATTTGGAAATAGGAAGAAAGGCATTGATAAGGACTTCATGTAATGAGAGCTCTGGCCCAGACACTGTGAGACAGGCAGGACATCACCTGGAATGCAAATGCTAGAAATATGCACTTGGGCACATTGGTGGAATTTGTAGAGTTCTCCCCACCCCCAGTACAATGTTTTCTAGAGATGCCAAACTGGACATGTTAATACAAACCTTCTTTACATAATAAAGGATATAAAAAAGGAGAAAAAAAATATCAGAGGCTGAAAGCAGGTTGAAATCTAGGAGGTATTTTGCTCTTTAGCCAAATTCAAGTATGAAAACATGGGGTAACAGGATCAGACTTGCTTTGAAAAGCTCAAAGCCAAATTTTCTAGGGACAACAGCCACGTTTACAGGGGTGGGTAGGTGTACCAGTAATGCTCACTGCCAGTTGCTGTTACACTCCTGCTTGTCTTTCAGCCTTTACATAATCTGTGATTTACAGTTGGTGCAACCCTATTGCAGCTTCTTCCAGTTCCTCTTGCCCAGCTCTGGGAGTACAGTGCTTCCCATACCTCTGTAAGTGGTAGATCTTGTGTGTGTACTGCCCACGCTCTCCATCTCTTTCGTAGGGCTCGTTCACCAGGACCTCCACTCCTTCACCTCCTCCAGTTTCATTTTTACTGGCTTCTGCCACAGAATACAGCTGCCCCACTTGATACTGAGGAAGTTAAAGACACAGTATTATGACAGCTATAATTTAGCAGAAGTAATAACTTCACCAGATGATGCCAAGGACAAATTCATTACCTGGGGAAAGGGCAGAGAAAAGGACACTCACTTGTACAGCTAGATAAGAAGCTCATTTAATCTCATTTGATACAGAAAACTTGAGTGGTAGTTAGGAGGAAAGCACTGCCAACAAAATAGTTACCTTTAACTCTTAAATCTCAAGCTCCAAACCAACACAAAATCAGGAGAAAGCAGAAAAGATTAAAGGAGCATCAGGATAACATTTAAAGAAAACACAGATGAATTCAGGAATACTGTAGCAAAATCCTTTGTTTTCACTCTTTTTGGGACAGGTGTCCCAGTTGTTCAAGTCAAATGGAGAGTAAAGCACTGCCAGTCCTGAATCAATAAGCACACAGTACTGCATCCACAAGAGTCCTGGGGAACTTCACACAAAGTTTTTTTACAAAATGCTGTCACTGTTCCCCCTATTATTTTTCCTATGATCCTTGTTTTGGCTTGTGGGTTTTTTCTGTATCACACTTCCTCTTAGCCACAAGTTTAAACCACTAACAGGGAGAGCACAGAATTACAACATGCAGTAAAATTTTTATCCTAAGATTATTTTTCAGTCTCTTACTGACACTCACTTGGCACATTATTTGCCAGAAATCACTCAAACCACTTGATACTATGCAGTTGCTTTCATAAGAGGCAACTTGCACAAATGTTTCACAGGGAAGAGCAGAAGAAAAACCAAGAACATGAACAAAAGAGAACATTCTTCTCTGCATAAGATGTTAAGATTAATACACTCTTGCCTCTAGTAGTTACAAAAGGGGATGCAGAGCTCAAAAGAAACATGATCAAATGAAGAAAATTCACTCAGGTCTCTCTGAGGCAGAGTTAGATGAGCAAAGTTTGAGGATGAAGAAGTTACAGCACTAAGTCAAAAGGAAGTGTTCTAACTTAAAAGAGTTAAGTCTTCAGAACTCTTAAGCAAGCAAAACAGCAACTGTTGCCAAAGGCAACAGAACAGAGAGGCAATCTGAAAGGGTAATCCACAAAGTGTTTGGCATCAGAAGTGCAATGACTTAAAAAACCCCAACCAAAATCAAAAAAACCTCCAAAACATAACTACAAAGCAATGGAACACTGTCTAGGCCGTCTTCTGCAGCACAGAGCTCTGCACCAGAGTCAGGAATAACACTTAGCACACTGAAACCCAGCCTGGAAAAGTGGAATACAACCCAGAAATACTCCACTGGGCTGGTACATCTTCAGCAACGACGGAAGATTTCTACAGTTGTTAAATTTTGTTGTCGGAGTATCCAAAATAACAACAGCTCCCGAGCTCTTTGGTGTTTTGTACCATCTGGGGCTAACAAAGACCATGGAAACATTTATTCCTACTGGAAGAGCAGCTTTGCTGGATCTCTCCAGAAGGTGCTGGCCCAGGTTATATGAGCAGCCCTTGCTTGGCTGGACAGTTCCTGCACTGGCACAGCAGGTTGGGTTTCAGTCTGGATTCTGGGCTGCAATACAAGGTCCTGACTTCTGACATTTCACACACCACATTGCTTTCCTTATGACTCCCTACATATGATCCATACAGAAAAGAATATTCACCTCCCTCCAGAAGAGCAAAACATGAAGAGTTGTGAAACCTTAGAAGCAAAGTTACTTTAGCACGGTTAGAGTCACACATTCATAGTGAAGAGTTTGTGATGAGTTTGATAAATACAGTATTAGAGGGAAGGATGGAATGGCTGTGACTGGTTTGCAGCAGGTCCCAGGACAGGTCTCCAGGGGTACAAACTAATTCCTCTTAGTAACAATCTCTTATTCATTCCTTCTCCCTTTCAAATATGTGGGTCAAAGTTCACACACTAAGAGGATAAACCCTTTGGTTTAACATCTTCACCATTTAAACTTCCCTGTTATTTCTGAGCCTTTAATCGTATTGATAAAAAAGCCCAAATAAAACTGTCCCAATGAACAAATCCCACAGCATCTGCCTGCAAAGGTTAACAGAGAAACAGATCCTGGCTCCATGAATCTGGACTCCAGACAACTCTAGATAGACCCATCCTTGCAGATCTGAGAGCTCCAAAATAACCTTCTCCTCTTCTGCAAGAAATCATCCCTCTTGATCTGTGTCACAACACCTCTTATATAGCTGACAGGATATCTTCATTACACCAAAACTCTTTTAGAAGGCCTGATTTCAACACAGCCATCTCCAAGAACAGTTGTTTTCCCCAAAGCAGCTTTGAACACAATTAATAAATAAGATTCCTCTGCGTTTGGCAAGCTCCTTCCCATGTGAAAGGAACAAAGAGGCAGCACAGAATGTGTACACACAGCTCTAATCCATACCAGAATTTCGGTGGCAGCTGGCACGACACCCACACAGCCGCTCAAGTCCACGCTCCCAAAGTTGGCACCACACAACACAACGTTGGTCAGAGTGTGAGAGCAAAGGTTGGCACCCAAGATACAACAGGTGTTTTCCTTTTGGTCCCTGAAGTGGGACAATGTATAAAACACGGGAATGCAGCTTGCAGCCCGCACTTGAGCAGACCACATTTTGGCAGAGTTTCCTTGTAGAAGACAGTCTGCTACAGTCTAACTCCTACATCCCAGCCTTCAAGTTTTAGTCATCACCAGGGCTTCTCTTCCCCTATTTTATTCCCATCTTAGCAGTTATTTGGCTAACTAGTCAGCTTTGATCTCCTCAGTGCCCTCCTAATCACTAGTTTTCCCTTGAATTCCGTACTATTGGTTAAGCTCCACTTGCCAGGGGTGAGGAGACTGAACACAGAATCCTCAGCATATCACAGAACCACACTGAAGGCTCTGTCAACCCTTTGATGATGCCCCAAAGTTACAACTAATTTCATTCCCTATTTTACACATTGGCATCAGACTTTTGTCAACAATCTGCATGCAGAAGGTGTGAACTCTTATGTCTTTGGAGCAAAAATGGCCCATATTGAAGTGAAATCAGAAGTCCTCTTGCTAGCCAGAAATGCTTAATGAACAGCCACACAGTCAAGAGCCATAACAAGCCTCCAGAGCCCTATTTAAGAGTTTTGTACACAAGGAAATCCTTGAAAGCAATGAAGTTTTAACAGCTGGTTTGTAGTACAGACATAAGTGTGGTGACCAAGTGATGCACAGATGTGTCAGCATCTTTCCACACAGGAAGGGAGTGAAGCAATAAGTAGAGCAGTAGTCATCCTCTGAGTCAACACTGGAAATAACCTTTCTTCTTAAGCACACCTTTAACACTGTCAGGTCACCCAAGTGCATATGCAAAGGTAAGTGAACTTTAGAACTCTTTCCACTCATGGAATTGGCTCCTGAAGTCTGGTCTATCATGGGAAAAACACCAGACCTTGAAATGAGGCATCCCTCAGGGACATGGTGACGCTACACAGATTTCAGGAGAAATTAAGTTTGGTCAAGTTGGGGATCTATTTGCAATCCAAGCACTGGACCCAGGGTAGAGGAACACACCTCCTGAAAACAGATAACCCCGGGGCACCCTCAGAAAAGGAGGTTGCTCGAGAGCAACAGATTCACTTACAGCCCAGAAGCTCAATGCCCCACCCAGGCAGCCCACACACAAGGCTCAAACGTGCCTGGCACTGAACAGCCACAGAGGGAAAAGAGCACGGCCAGGGACTCGCTTTAACTGGATGAAGGCTAATCCTGGTATCAGAGAACTCAGAAAAACCCTGGGTTGGGTTCCATCCAATCTAACCCCCTCAAAGAAACAATTTCTATACTGACCTGCATATTCTTTTTACACAGCTTGATACCAAGGAGCCATATCACTACCAGGCAGGTTCCTGTTATTCAGGCTGAGGTCTTCTGTCCACTGGGCTTGAGTACCTTGCCATTTACCTTGTCTAACCTGCAAGTTTGCATCCTTTGCTTACTTGGTGAAGGTTATCATGTTAGTCCTTCCTTTGACAAGGACTTCCCCACACAAATAGCACTCAGGCACAATAAAAGACTCAAACATTCCTACTGTAACACTTCAGTCTGACTTCTGTTAAAACTGCTTGAAACAGATGAATGCAGAAAGCATAAAAGCTACAGGTAGGGAGCTGGCAACAGACAGACTTCTGGCATTATAACATAGATCTAAAATCACTCTCTGATCAGAGGCCCAGACTTTCCATCAGCATGTGATGCCTGTCATAGCAGACTGATCCACAGGAACAAGAAACTCAGTTCAGACACTGCTTTTGTTTTACTAGCCAGCCCCATGGCTGCAGGAATGCACCACACCAACTCCTAAACTGTGTTCTGTCGAAAGAGTAGAGTTATAAAAGGGATATGCTTAAAACAGTGCTGCCATGAGCCAGCCCACCACTGTCTACGCCACAGTAGCTGCTATATTCAGAGGAAAGAAAAATGAACAAGAGTGCTGTTATCACAGCTCTCCTCAAGAGTTAGAACAAGCTCTTGATCAGAGCTCACAATCCTAAGGCTTACAGCCAAGGATCACAAGAAAAAAAAATACATCCAGAAGAAATCTACTGCAGATGTCCTGTAGATTCTGCTAGTATGAAGGTTAAAAAGTTCAAAACATTTATATTGTGAGATTGTCTGTAAGAGTGGTGTTCAGTCAGAAGGGAGGAAGGAAAGGCAAGCTGCAACTCAGAGGAAAGAACAGGGAAACAGCCATTGACTCTGCACAGCTACTCCATGGCCAGTCTGGTGATCAAAATCACCACACCCATTATAAACTACACTTCTTCTCTCAATTAGAGCTTTACCTAAACAAAAAGGAAGTTTTCTGTTTGTAAGAGCTAGAGAGGACAGGTCTTAAAGAGTCCTAGGAAAGATATACACAATCTTTTTTTTTTGCTAAACCAGCCTCATAAATCAGGAGAAATTCTTGATCTTTGCCTACAAGTTTAAAAACAAAGAGCTCCAGCAACACACAGTTCAAAGGGTAACTTAAAATTGTACTGAAGCTTCCTCTTCATGTTAGAAAAGTAAAGAACAATAGTACTAATCAAAAGGAAACTGCACTTTAAAATAGTCTGTCAACTCTAGATTTATAATCAGCATATCTGAAAGTATAAGAGATCAGTGCCCTCAGACTTTAATTTGGTCAAAATGATAGCGAATGAATTAACAGCTCACAGGGGTCCTGAAGACAGCTATATCCTTCTCTTGCATGTTCCAGTTTTTGTTCATACAAACTGCTTTGATCACAAGTTTATTTACAGTCCTAAAGAAAGGAGGCAAGAAGAAAAGAGCTTACCTCCTCCACAGACACAGGCAGGATAACGCGGCTGAAAGGGAACACAGAGACAGAATGTTAACAAATATCCCAAAATTTACACAGCACATTCCTCACAGCAATGGCTGCACAGCTCTACCCTCCACCCAGTATTTCAGCACCCACCCAGTGCTACCATCCCTAGCTCTTACTCTTTAATCCCAAGACTATTTATACAATAACCTCAAAGAGAACCAACACGAGATGGGGCATAATTGCAACCCTCTCCTAAAACTCTGTAATTCAACAGACCCTCCCCTGTGATACCTCACTGGCCTACAAATCTAGGCAGCACCAACACAGCCGTGTGTTCCCTCTCATCCATCCTTTCAGCAGTCACATCTTATTTCTCATCAAGCTGCTGCAGAGGGTTGCTCTGGGCCTCAGCAATTCTGCTGAGCTCTGCCACAGCCACAAGGCACTGCACTGTTTGCTCACATGTCCCAAAGCAGCAGGAAACAGCCCTGAAGACAGAGCAGAGGGGAGGCTTTCTCAGAGCTCACTGCACAGGAAGGTGCTGCCACTTCTGTACGTGAGTCACTTCTTTTCACGTGGTGGTTTCCTGAATGCTTCTTAGAATTGACTGACTGGACAGCAGAGCAAAAACTGCCAGAAATCACACTGAGGTTTTTTTGAAAAAGAATGAATGTAAAGCTGACAAAAATGCACATGTGTTGAGGCCTTTAAAAATATTTAAAAATATCTGTCTAAAAAAACTAGATTTGTATTTAACTTCTGATGCTGAACAAGGAACCAATGCAAGATACAGACGTGAAATGGATACAGCTACTGTGGGTGGAAGAATTCCCAATTCTTTGGGAATTAGCCTCAAAGAAACTAGGACATAATGGGATCAGGAAAAAAAGTCCTCTTTATTAGCAAACTGATTTTTAAAAAGCAGTACTGGTGAAAATTGAATTATTTTTTTACATATTGCCAGCAAGACACCACAAGAACAAACTGCAAGAGAGGCAAAAGTTTACAGATTATGTAAGATTACTTATGACAGCAATGCTTTATGCTGGCTGCAAAGTACTGCAGAAAGAGCTACTGAGAACTGCAGATGAAGTTCCGTGTCAATAAAAGCAGAATAATGCACTACAGGCACTTGTTTTCACCAAACACATGGAGTTACTGAGCCCCAAATTGGCTATTGCCAACAAATATCTTGTGTCTTTATGAAAAAGCATCTGGAAACATCAGTTCAAAAGTAAACCCAACATCACAACAAACACACACAAAGAGACAATTATGTCATTACAATCTCTCGTGTATCGATGTCTTGAATATTGCACATAGTGCTGATCACCTCATCTCAAGGAGGATAAAAAAACAAGTGAAGGAAGGGAAAAAAGATAATTGGAAATGGGAAAAAGCTTCCATGGGAGAAGAAAGCAGTTAGACCTGGCCTTTCCAGCTTGGGATCAAAAACAGCTAAAGGGTTCAGGTATGAAAGACCACAAGAGATCATGAATGGTGTGAAAAAGTGAATGGAGAAGGAACAGTGGCTGTCTTACAACAGAGCAATCAGTAAGCAACAAATTTTAGACCAAATCAAGTGTACTTCTTTACATCATGTCTACTGAAGTCGTGGGATTCCTTGCCAGACATGGAAGTGTAAGCAATTTTTAAATGGGATTTGATCAAGTCATGGAAATCCATATGCCACTTACTGGTAGGATACACTGAACAACAATCGTTGTACTCACTATTATATATTGTTTCCTGAAAATATCTGCTAAAAGGCAAGATGGAAGAGGATCTTTGGTCCAATTCAGTATGGTGTTCCTTACATATGGGAGGACAAAAAAAAGGAAATGGATTTTCATGACATTAGGTCAGTTACGTGGATAAAACTGCAGTAAGAATGAAAAGAAGGACAGGATGATATGTAAAGGTGAAAGATCAAGAAAAAGGGAAAAAACAGTGGTTTTGGAATGGAGTTCAAATATTTGTCTTTAGAAAACCTGGTGTAAAAACATTGATGTAGGCTAATGAAATTCCATTTAGGAAACTGGAAGACACTAGATCTGAATATTTATCTTAGACTCTAATGTTCATCAACAAAGAAACAGAAACACAAACAAGTTCAATGGTTTACAATTTGTTCAGCAAGCCAAGAACGCAGGAGTGAATAACACTTATAGGTAGTCAAGTAATAAAGAAGGAGGAGGGAAGACTTCTCAAGAGGATCTGGAGGAAAAGCTTCACAGGAGCAGCAACGGGAACAAAAATTACTAAGTTTAAGACAGAACTCGCTCAACTTATGAGAAATTATACAATGTGGTTGGCCTGAAAATGGTGAGGAACAAACATTTAAGATCCCTCTCAGATTAAAATCTGTCTCAAATGGCAGCAAAGGGAAGTACAGCTGCAGAGAAGGTCAGTGCCATCATCATCACTTCACAGGAAAGGGAAGTGAGTCTCCAGACTCTGATTCTCCTCAAGCTCTTCTGATGCAGCTTAAAGGAGAATAAGGAGAGCAAGCAAGGCTTCAACCAGCATTTACCAACCCTGAAACCAAAAACATGCAAACAAGTGAACAAAATCCATGCAGCTCATCTGCAGCACGGATGGGTAGAAATAAAAGGTAAGTCTGAAAGTCTGATAGGACATCAAACGAAAAGTTAAAGCCATCACTGCATAACCATCAGGACAGGAATCTGCACAAAAATGATGATACAGACTGACTGACAGTAAAATATGTGACATCAGGTTTTTGTTATATTGCTCTATATCTGTAATGTCTCCTAAAATACCTGTGGAGCAGATAATAAAACCCATCTGATTGAGTAGGGAGAATGTTGACAAGGGGTCACAGAGATGGAAGAATAATCTGTTCAGATGACATGCAGTTACAGACCACTTATATTTTTACCATCTACACTAGGTGGGCTGTAAGGTACCTGTATGCAGTGTTTGGACAAGCAGAACTAATATAAATAACAACAAAACAGTCATAGCAAAGTACTTCAAATAGCCAGCTCACACCAAAAACAAGTGGTTTCTATATGCCTTAAACAACTGCTTCCCGGAACAGGAGATTTCATCAACAAACATCTCAAATAGGATGTAAAATGGGCAACTTCAACATACAACATCAAGGAAATACATACCAGAACCAATACAATGACACAGCTCAGAATGTGCAACCCTTAGAGACGGCTGGGAATCCCAAGAAGTGAAAAATAGATGCTCATTTCAAAGCACAGCAGCAACCTTGACTGTCCTTAGAGCCACATATGTCTTACTAAGGACACAGTGAAGGGAAGAAAGGGAACAGAGCAATGTAACTAATGACAACATTTAAAAGGTTTGTTGGCCCTTCTGAAAATAGAAATGGAAGCCTGTAAAAAGAAACAGATGTAGGAATTCTGGTTTTTTAACCTCTAGTCTTAACGTTTACACTTCACATCTTGTTTCTGAAACAGGCAGTGTGAAAGACCAGTAGACGTGTTGATTTGCTGAGGTAAATAATAGAGTAAAACGACTTTTGGAAGTGATGCTCATCAAAATGAACTGTTCATATGCTCAGAAATCTGAAAATTCCAAGGACAGATGATCCCACCTTTACAGCACAGCTCCCTGGCAATGAGCTTTACTGTGGTACAGGGCAAGTGGCTGTGAGCAGAAGCATGAAAAAGATAGAAAAAAACGAGCCAAGGTGCTGTAAGAGGGAAAGTAGTAAATTCATAGGAAAATATCAACAAAACAGAGGTTATAGAACGAGTTAATTATATTTTCATGCACCTGAAACTAAGCACTTAGCCCAGGTTTCTGTCTGTTATCCAGTTTAAGGCTACAGAAGGTAACAATGTCTCTGTGTTACAAAGAGCAGTCCTGCTGCTGCTCTTGAATTCTACACTCCTATTGTTGGATAAAAATAGCAAGGGTTTAAGGACTGGGGGAAAAAAAGTTAATCAAGTTTAAAGACCAGTACAAGGATCAGTACAACTCTCAATATAGTTTTAATATTTAAATCCAACCCATGGTCCATAATCTGGCAAAGTAATTACTATAAAGAGGGCACAGTCATGTAGGTAAATGTGTCTAAGAGAAGACCTGAAAACCTAATTTATCATTGGGATCACTGATATATCCTACAAAGGGGAGAGGAAAATATAAACAGAAAGCCTCTTCCATCAGCCAAAAGGAGTTTAAAATGATGGAATGCACTCAACTTAAGAATGCACTTGAGTTAACCTTAAGAATTCAGGGAAGAACTACGTGCAGCAGTGTGCAGAGCTTGAAGACACCCAGCCAAAGTGCACCGCTCCAAGAGCATATTCCACGTTAGCAAGCCCAAAGCTGCTGAACCGAAGGCTGCGAAAAGCAACTGTGACTAATAGTTCCACACCCTCGCCTGTCTTCCACCCCTTCAACCCCATCGCGGGGCAGAACAACCGCAGCAGCCTCAGGGTCAGCAAAGAACTCCAAGGGCCGGTTTCCAAACATCCCGAAATATTCTGGCGCTACCTTATTCCAGGAGCTTCTCGTTGGGGACTCCACAGCTAAAGGCGGGAGGGGACCAAACCCAGCCTCGGCACCTGGCCCCGCTACAACGAGCAGAGAGAGGGGCCGAGACGCCCCGGCCTCCCACAGACCCCCCACGGAAACCACCGGGGCTGACACTCCACCGGTGCGAGGCCCTCGGCACCGGGGCACCGGGAACAACCCACAGCCCACCGCCGGTGCGGGGCCAAGGGCTCCGGGGGGGGGGGGGGCCCCGCGGAGCCGCCGAGGGGCCGAGCGGACCCGGGCCCGCCGGCAGCCGCGGCCCCCGCCCCGCCGTGACCTTCACTGCCGCCCCCACCGGCGCCGCGGCCCTCACAGCGCTCCCCTTCCCTCCTCCCTTCCTTCCCTTCCCTCCCGCGGCCGCACTGCGGGGGCCAGCCCGGGCCGCCCACCCGCGGCCGCCCGCGCCAGGCCCGGAGGTGACCGGAGGGACGAAGAGGGGCCGAGGTTGGGAGGGAGGGGGGGGGTAGCAGCGGCTCCCCGCCGCACTCACTATTCCTTGATGAGCACATGGCGGTGCCGCCGCGGCCTGCCGGCCGGGCCCCCGCTGAAGGTGACAAGGAGGCGCGTCCCCCGGGGCCGCCCGCTGCCGGATGGCGATGGAGCGAGCGAGCCGAGCCCGAGCCGAGCCGAGCCGAGCCGAGCGAGCCGAGCGCGCCGCACCGGAGGGGGGCCGGGCCGGGGGGGCCGGGGCGGTTCGTCTCTGCGGCAACGGCTGCGTCACCTCCGCGCCGCGCGCGGGCGGGGCCCGCGCGGCCCCGCCCACCGCCTCCCTCAGCGCGGCGCGAGCGCGGCCCGCCGATTTTTTTGGGGTTTTTTTGGGCTCCTTTAGGGGTTCTCCCAGGAGGTGTAAAACTATACTGCACCGGTGCGGTTTGTTTCGGCTCTCCGAGACTTTGGGGTTCCCAAAGCGGTACAGAGGTCTCCCAGCAGTGCCGGAGTCCGCTGGCAGTCCCTCGGATTTTTCTGAGTCGACTCCGATGTTTTTAATTACAGCAGCGTCTTTAGGGTCTGTCTCTCAAGAGATGTAAACTGCGCGGAGTTAATCGTTTCAGCTCTTAAGGCTGGCGTTCCCAAGAAGTCTCCCAGCAGTGCCACGAAGCCCTCCTGCCACTAGGGAGGTTCTACAATCCTAATACCATGGAATGGTTGGGGTTGGGAGGGACCTTAAGGATCATTCAGTTCCAACACCTCCCACTAATCCAGGTTGCTCCAAGCCCTGTCCAACCTGGCCTTGGACGCTTCCAGGGATGGGGCAGCTACAGTTTCTCTGGGCAACCTGTGCCAGGGCCTCACCACCCTCACAGGGAAGAATTTCTTCCGTGTATTTAACCTAAATTTCCCCTTTCAGTTTGAACCCATTACTTTTTGTCCTGTCACTACAGTTCCTGATGAAGAGTCCCTCTCTGCCTTCCCTGTAGGGCCCCATCAGATACTGGAAGGGGCTGTGAGGTCTCCACAAAACCTTCTCTTCTCCAGGCTGAACAGCCCCAAATTTCTCAGCCTGTCTTTCCAGGGGAGGTGTTCCAGCCCTCTTGCCAGCTCCTGACCCCCCTCTTTTGGGAGGGTGAGGAAAGGGAATGACTAGTGATCAGGGTATTAATGCAAATATCCAGGGGATAAGTCAGTGCTACAGTCAGACAGGGTGAGTGTCCTCAGGTAATGGGCTCCACCTTGTCACCAGGTCATGATTTATCGCATTTTCAAGTCTTTAGTTTTCAATATTACTGCTGAGCTGCAGTCACCCAGGCTGCACTTGGCATCAAGAGGAACCCCAGATATTTATTAGAAGGCGATAGCAAAAACCCTTTTCTGTGACCTGTACTCAGTAAAAAACACTAAGGAGTGCTAATCTTACCACTTTTGTCACTGGAATCACAGAGCAAGGATTGTCATTATTGGATTGGGAAAGTAAACCACCATAGATTTAGCATCACCAAGCTCAAGAGGGGATAACTGAGATGTGCAGCTTTCCTGCTGACACCTCCATTCCCACCTAAGGTCAGTTGTTCATCTTTCATTATTTGACACTAATTTGTCCTGCATAACTGAGCTTGATCTCATTCTCAACCTGCCCTCTACGGTTTGGGGACTTTTTCCAGAGATTAAATTTTAATTCTCCAGTAGAGCTTAATTGGCATTAGCTATTAGCTCCTAACCTAGGGAAGAAAAATTCAAGGAAACATTTAATCTGTGTCCTGCCCTTTGGCAGGTGACACCCTGTAAAGCATTCACGCTTCCATAGTCTCATTAGGAAGCAAGCAATGCTTTTATTATGTTCAGCCTCAGAAGGAAAACTAATGATTAACTTAATATCACTTTATTTTGAGATAGTACTGCAAGAGTGCACATCACCTTACAAACACAGAGAAGATGACACAGGCCTGCCCCGAGGAGCTTACAATTCAACTTTGACAAACACCACAAAAAATTCTGTGGACAGCAAAAGGTGGGAGAGGTAATGCTCTTGGGTTAAAGAGGGGGTTTTCTGAAAGAAGGGATTGTCTCCAGAATAAAAAGTGAGTGACAGAGGGTCAGGCACAAGGAAGTGACAGGCAGCAGTAGGGTGACAACGTGGAGTAGAGGACACCTGATAAAAACAGATTGCACAGAGACAGGCTGGCAGCACAGGCAGAAAAACAACGAGCTGTGGGGGTTTATAATTAACATGTAAGAATGCAGCTACATAACACATCATTGTTTCAGCTACTCCAGAGAAGATAACATTGTGAATTATAAATCAGAAGTGGCTTTTTTTTAAATTAAAAAAAAACAAAAAAAAAAAAACAAAAAAAAAAACCAACCACCAAAACCACCAACCACCAGTCCCTTCCCATCAGGAATCCTACTGTAATACTCATTTCCATTATCTAGAAAAGAAGTACATTGCAGTTCTAAATTGGGGCACAGGGAATACCAAAAGCTCTGCAGATGCAGAAAAGACTCAAAAGGGGGGAAAAAAGTAACAAAATTTGTAGTTTTAAGATTTCTTTTTTACCCTACGCTATCTGCTTCAAATTTTGTAGCATATTTTCCAAATTCATCAGCATGTCAGGAGGGAAATCTCCTACTAGAAAACATTTTAGTGATATACTGACTTAGTTACAATCTCATTATCCTGCAATTTTCCTTTGTAGATGGAGCATGAAAAGACCAGGCTTTGCTGTGGGAGTTGAACATTTTAGTTGCTGTAGCAGCATTGCAGTTAAGTTGGAGCCTCAGCAAGATTTGCTCTTTTTTTTTTGCATACATCTGTGTCCAGTTTCATCTCAAGGATCCAGATATAGCTTTATGCTGTTACTGTCATAGTGTAAAGTGTCCTATTAAAGCAGAACAGCACAGATTTTCTCTGCTACTTTTGACACAGTGTCATTGCATTAGTGCTATAAAGACTCTGTCAACAGGGCTTAGGCACTGACAGATTAGTGAAAGCAAAAAGCTGTCATCCTCCATTCCCCACTCTGTGAATTTAATTTTTTATATGTATTTTTTTAGCATGGATGCACATTACATCCATGTGAGTCTGTAGAGGTCAGGAGCAGCGTTTTCAGAAGGTGCAATCACCTTTACACAGCAACACCCTTGACTCTGAGGGCCCCTACAAACAGCAAGTACTCACAGATGAGGTTTCTGCTTCATTACATTCCACTGGGGATGCTTCCATGGAGGTCTTTCCCACGACCACCCTCCTTGCACTTCTCATGTGAATGAGGGTTGGGGGGGTACAAGGGGCATAAAAAACCCCAAGACCTACAAATTCATAATTTAGGAATTATGAAAGCAGTTAAACACATTGACCTATATTTGAGTTATAAAGGTAAACACATTATTGATTCAAATTGCTGGGGCTCTCCAGCCTTTGGTAGCCCATTTATTTTTCCCACAAGGTGGCTCATGCACACAGGGAGTGCACCAGGAATTCTCTTGATCCTTCATCTCTCAGCTAGAAGGCAGCAGTGCTGTTTTCCACTCCAAACATACATAATCCACAATTACATTTCCCTGAGCCTCAAAAAACGAGGCAAACTGACCCTGATCCACCACGTGACAGGACCACCCTGACAGTGTTTGTTTCTGCACTGTGCATGACAACATTTAAAGAGGCTGGAGGCAGAATATTGTCCTCCAAGAGCCCATTGCTGCAGGAGGTGCAGGACTGAAGCAGTTATGCCACAATCAGTAGAGTATTTGCACATCTTGCATGCAGATATATTTGAGACTGCTTTAAAATTAGTTTGGTTCACAACTGTCAGAATAAATTAAACCCCACTAGTGTCAGACCAGTGTTTTACCTTAGCCCAGCATGTTTTCTTCATCTGTGACCAATTCTCAAAAGACAGAATACGTAGAAAGAACAATAATCTTTCCTTGGCACAACTTTCTTATTTACAGCAACTTAAAATCTCCCTGAGTTAGTGGATGCAGAGCATTGTTTAACCAGTCCCTTTAAAAAAAAAAAATAAATAAAATTTATACTTCTGTTCCCCACTACATTCTGTAGCAATGACTCCCACAGTTTGTTGCAAGGCCTGAGAAGGTGACACCACTTGTCTGTTCAGCTTTGAATAGCTAAAACTTCCCTGTGTACCCACTAGGACTGCAACTCCAAGGCATGAGCTCTGCTCCTCACAGCTGACCAGCAGCTTCTAAACACCATGCCACATCAGCAGAGACACTAAAAGTCACATATCCACCATTTTTTCAAATGAAACTGGATTTGAAGGTATTCCTAATAAAGGGCAGGGACTGGGAACTGCAGTAGGGAGGTAGATGGCAGAAATAAAGGGGTGTTCTTTGAAGTATGTGCAGCTAAACTAAAAGGCAGCAGCAACTCCACTGTGACTTCATGAAAATATGCCACTCTATATTCCACTATTTTGCAGAGACATTTATAACAGGAATTCAAGTGACATAAGAGTGGAAGCAATCACATTCAATGTTCTGAAACAGAGGTGGAAGTAATGCTGAGTTAGCACACTGACACCCTCCAGCAGCTTCTCTGCTTTAGGACACTGAGACTGTGGATGGTGGCTCAGACACTCACCTGTCTGAGCTATTCCTAAAAAAAGGTACTTAATCTGTCATTCTCGTGTCACAAATACCTTGAAGCAAGAGTAGGACTCTTCTCAAAATATTTAGAAGTATTGTAATATTGAATGCAGAAACCTGCAGAAAGCCCTCTGGAAACCTAGGCAGGTGAGTCTCTGAACATGTACACCAGGTGAACAGGAAAATTAACCAAAACTCTGCCTCCTTAATTATTGCTCGACACAAAAGAAAGAAAAGCTGGGAAGGTCACTGAATCAACACCAAAAGACAAAAAGTTCCAGAAGAGTAAAGTGTTGACAGCAGGCAACAAGGCTGTCTTGGAACAAACACATTTAATAAAGGCAACACATTAAGAAAAAAAAAAAAAATTCACAAATGTGTCAAATGCTCAAGTGGCGAGTCCTTTCGAAACGAGTGGCTGAAGACCGAAAGGTACTGCTCGCATCGGAACTGCTCGCGGGAG